TGGCTTCAGGGCAACATTACACCAATTCCACAAGTAGCTTCACCATATTGGAGCACCTGGCCCTCAAGTTCCTGGCTCGTCTCTTAAAACCTTCCTTCCATCTGCTCTGTGGGAGATCTGCATTTTTCAAGTTCTGCTTTTGCAGTACATGTTGAGGCTATCTGGTGATTTACCTCATCCCTCTTCTCTTTCCCAAAATCGTGGGGAACCCCAGACTTGGCTAATAAAATTAGCACGAAAGAGCAACAGATAGCTACCCTGCACTGAAACTTATCCATAAGGCACCAGTCTCCGTGTCTCCTTACTGCTGCATAAATGCTTTTCTTGTGAACTCTTTGCTACGGTTTGCTCTGCCGACAATGATACTTCGCAGCTTATTCGTGGCAAAACTGGCTTTGCAGAGATGTTTGGAGCTACCTCCCAGTATCAAAGAGAATTCTTTATCCTCTCGGAAACCCCCACCCGACTCCTTGTTTATTTTTTCCCTTCCCGATGTGGCTGATGGCTCACAAATGCCTGCTGATTCCAAGGAGCTTTAAAGACAAGAAGAAAAAAAAAGCTGTATATATGAACCGCAACATCTGGGAATGTAATATTTTCCTGATATTGTCTCCTTTAAAGCACTGAAACATAGTCGACTGGTTTTAAATTAAACAATAAAGCCAGCATCATGGTCAAGCTTTAAAAATAAAATATGTTAACAGTATTTAAGTTTCTCACACTCCCTCCTCAGTACGAGCTGGGTTTAGTCTTACACCGTTTTATATTGTCAGCTTCAGGCAAAACCAGCAGCTCGTACTCCATTAAGGTCAAACCAGATTGTTTCTAACAGCTAAACGTGCTTTGGATGTTAAAGAGATACGAGGAAAAATGTTTCTGTAGGAAGAGACAGGTCAGTAACCGGCCTTTCCCCTGCTAGTGACAAGTAGCTCCCAGTAAAGTCTTTCTAAGCCAGGGCAAAGATTTTTGGTGCCCAATTGAAACATCTTAAAAAAGCCTCAATTTCTGAAAGTGCTGAGCACCCCCACTCTGAGAAAGAAGCCTCCTAGTAAATCTCGGTAGGCAAAAATGGAGGTACCGAACAATCACAAGTCACATTGGAACATCTAGGCTCACACGGTTAGGGTGTTTTTAGTGGATGTGAGAGATTATTATTGCTAAATGTCTGCATAGAAGATCGCAGCACAGGAATGACATTCCTTCAAAAAGAGAGTCAGCTAAACGTAAGAGATATATAAGCCACCAGAAAGATAAACTTTGAAGAGCTGCTACGGAGTATGTTCAGCATCATCTTTTCAAAGAAAATGCTCAGAAGTTTTCTGTGTCCGTGAAAGGTTTAACATTCCATTTTCAGATAACGGCCAAAGGAATTTAATCCCCCTCACAGCTATATTTTAATAAAATTTAAAGAGCACCAAATCCAATATTAGCCAGAAAAAAAATCAAGATTAAGGGCAACACTTCTGCCATTCAACAACTCCAGCCTAAACAAACACGTAGCAGAATAGTTCGCTTTAGAAATGGAGTGTTCCTTCCCTTTGCTTTTCCCAGCTTTTGTGTGTGTCACAATCAGATTATGAAAGACACATTTTTGGTATTGTCTCCAATTCACAAAATATGAGAGTCTTGTGGCAATGTGTCCCTATGGGGATAGGTGCCCTGGAAACTGGAATATCTGGTACAAAGACAGATTTCACAAAACTGATTAAGCTGCCACTGGTGAGTCAAAGAAATCTTAGCTCCCACGGCAATGGTCCCTGTATAAATGCACATGTAAAGAAGCAATCTTGGGTAACTAGTGGTTCAGATACTTGCCTGGACTATATAAAGATTCAGCCTACAAATCTGTTGAAAAAACTATAAAGCCCCATTAAACAGAGTGCAATGCAGAGATTAATATCCATGGTAATCATCTTCTCTATGACATGCTAGTGGAGTGAATATACAGAGAGGGAATGGGAATATCTGGGTTCACTCATTGGGGATGATTTTATGTAACTGTCTTGTGGCTGCGTTTGATGCAGTCACTCATGAGTTAAACATATTCATTGCATACAAGTGAAACCCTCTCCCTCCTGCACGGTTCCCTGGTATATGTTAAGAGTCCTCAGTCACCACTATGTGGAGTGTGGAAATCTTACGTATTTTCCGCCCAAAATGATGATTTTCTGACTGTTCTGTGTAGCCCACTGTGAAGTATCCTGCAACTGATGCACTGGGTTCATGGTATCATTTACACTGCACTGGGGTCCACGTTTTACTACAATTTTTATTTTCACTCGGGGTTGAGTTAACACTACCCTCCATCTGGGGCTGACTCCGACTGCCACTTAGTGCAGCATGGAGTGCCCTTCTCCTTCTGACTTGTCACCTTCGGTGCTGTGAGCTGCCAATCCCAGGGTCTCCCACTTTTCCTCATCTGTAACCCCCCATATGGGCCCACCTTGAGGGCACTTCACCCTCCATGGCTGCAAACCTGGGTTCTGTCAGCCAGGAAATGCTCAGTAAAGGATAAGGAGCTCAGTACTGCTGGAGAGCAGATGGGCCTGAATGCCTGGGCCTTGCCACCGTAGAATGCAGTGCAAGGCACACCTATTTGCACAGGTGTTTTCCAGTTAAACCTGTCACAAACTGCCCTGACAACACTCTTGTGCTGGGACTTGGCCACAGTAAAATAACGGCTTAAGAGAGAAGGGCAAAGCACTCTTCCTTTTAGAGAGATGAAAGGTGTCTGTTTGGTAGGGCACCAAGGTACTACAATACAGCTGATCAAAACGTGTAAAGCAAATTAATTTTGAGCAGAGCAGACAACACAACTAGAAATATGCTGGGAAATACACAAACGCCAGCATTCAGAAGATGGCATCTTAAGAAGTTACATACCCACTTCAATAAAGCTCATTTTGGGTGAAATCCCTCCACTTCTGGCTGGAGTGCTGTGTAAGAGCCATTTACACCGAGACAAATCTCACGTTTTGGTACTTTGGAGAGACTGAAGGGTATTTCATTACAGTGAATGGAATACAGCTATAGTACTCAAGATCAAGATTCCAAAAGCATCCTAAACCTAGACGATCAAGACGTGTACAATGGCCTGCACACTGCATTAGTGAGATTTATACTGGGGTGGTGAAGTTAGAACATATAAAGTACAAAAGTGATCCATTATTGCCTAGCAATGGAACAGCTAGTAGTTACCTCATTAACATTGATTTTAGACTTTGCAGACGATTCTAGAAAGGCACAGTTACACCACTGTCTTGCTAAGTTCTGACCCTGTTCTTTGCCAACTACGCGTTCATCTTCCAGGTCACATTTATTGCCAACCAGAATCATTGGAACCTGTGTGGAGAGAACAATGAGAAGCATATGAGCAAACACTGTTCCAACAAACACACCTGGACTGGCCCAGAAAAGCCATCAGTGACAAAGGTTATTTCTTCAAAAACCATTGTCTATGTTTGACAGGGCTACATTTCATAAGCACAAGAAAAATGATATAGGCTGGAGTATATAATCCAGAGAGTTAGAGCTACATTGAACTCACAGACTAGATTACATTTCAGGTACCTGCTGGAAAGGGACTGAAGGAAAATTGTGGCATGCAGCCACCATGACCAAGTTTCACTGACAATCAATCACACCATCTAACAAATGGAAATACTGCTGTTTAGGAGGTTACATTATACAAGGTTTATTTTGAGGTCATCCACTAACATCACACTAGTCAAAAATATAATTTATTGTTAAGATGCTTTCAAGCGACAAGGGGTTAAACTGCATGCCATCTTAACTTATGTTAGACAATAGGGTATACAGCATATTTCCTGGATACATGCTGAATGCTGCCAGCCCTAGTGACCCGGCAGTCTGTTGTCAAGCCATAGAAAATAAATGGGGCCACCTTTGAAAAGCACTCCCTTGATTTGGAATGAAAGGGACTAGATGCATGCACCATGGCCTTCCACATGTGCTGTCTTTTCCCATCAGGAGTGCAGGACCATGCTGCATTAACAGTTCTATGCACACAAAATGGAAAGACTTCTGCAATAATAAACATACTGGACAATTTCATGTTCATATTTATTATGCATAAAGTAATTAAGCAAAAACGGCAACTAATTGTTTTGTAATAGACTCATAAGAGTCTTGTTTACTAGAACTGGATGAAATTCCATTTCTTCAGTTAATTACACTAATCTTGTTTTAACATCAAAAATCGCTTACTGCGTTAGTCATATGAGTAACCCGCACCATTGTATCCTAGGCCCACCGTCATTAAGCTCTGCCCAGGAGGTTCAATGAGTGGAAACAGCTGTATGTATGGTACAAAATGATGGCAAACCATCTGTTAAACAGCCTGATGGAGCTACCAACTGCTGGCTCTCTGAGGAGCCACCTGCCCATTCCCTCAGGAGGGAAGAAGTGCCTAAGGGAGTCCATGGTCCCTGCTACATTTCCTGGGGAGTGTTACAGGAACTGGAGTGCCTTTGGAAAGTGACCTTGGCTACAACAGACACTTGTTACTGATTTATTTGCATTAGGCGGAACAGAATGGAGTAGTCTTTACACACAATCGAAGAGCTGGGACAGTTTTTCAAAAAACATGAAAGCAAACGATGGATGGAAATGAAGGGATTTCTTGCACATTGAGAGAGAGCCGGTAAAATTCTTTTCTACTGTAAGTTCTTCAGGGCAGGGACTGTATTTATATCATATACTGTACAGAGCCAAGCATGTTGTCAACATTCAATAAATCAAACATTTCCCCTTCTAAGAACATACTCCCCAAAGCTTCCATGGCAAACAATCAAATGATACAATTCAATACCATGTGACAATCTGATAACCCTTAAAAACACTCCGTTAGCTCAGTCAAAAAATGGGAACATTTTTTTCCAGCAGGCTTTCGCAGTAAGACACCTTTGAGGTGGTACCAACGTGAATTTCAGAAGACTTTTCCTGTTTCCCCTCAGGCTTGTGGTCTACTGATGGATAGCCCTGCACACCACCAGGGAAGAACACATTTAAAATGGCAGGGAGGAAAGCCAAAGGAGTTGGTAGGACTTCATATTTAAAGCATAAAAGAATGTTAAAGAAAAGAGCTCTCACAACACTACAATATCTAATCTGTTTTACATCTCCTGTAAATGAACTCTTTAAGCAACTACAATATAGTACAGAAAGTCCTGGGCTGCATACCATTCTTTCAATCCTGCTTTTAAATTTTGCATTTCATATCAATCCCAGTTGCTGAAATACGGAAATGGAGTTAAGGTAAGAAATCTCCAGTTTCTTGAGCATTTTGAAGCACACAGATAACAGCAAGAGCTGCGCTCCATTCCACTGCTGCATTTTATTGAAACGCACAATGCACACACCACTGTTTCCCCAGAGCACTGTAAGAGACAAAATTACTGACCTGCTGATAATGGGTGTGCATGCCATTCCCTTTCTGCACACAAAACTGAGCCACAAAACCTGTACTTTCCAGATGGAAAATAAGTTGCTATACATTTCCTTCAATAATGTACATAAGTACCGTACTGTAAAATTTCAAGTTACTTTTATTATTTATACTTAATTTTGCACAGAATTGTTCTTAAGTAGAGTCTAAGTCAACTAGATTTAAGACTCATTTAAACCTCTAAACAAAATGGTTTCAAAAGAGATCAGACAACATTTTATTTTTGGGAACTACGTTTTGCTTACTACAGCAAAACCTGAAGTATGAAACAGAAACTGCAGGCAAAACAAAACCTCTGTTTCAGATCAAACCATTGTACCCTACTCCAAATATAAATATTCACAATTACATGTGCTTAATGAGAATCTCTTTCATTTTGTATGAGACCAAAAGAAATGATCCATTTTCCCACACGTGGATACTAATGTACAAATGTGAATATTTGAACACATTCAAAACTAACTAAAGAATGTTAAAAAGCGGTACAGCAGAAAAAATGGAACACATAAATGAGGTATACATTTGTCTAGATATGGGGAGATACGAGACACGTGGTTGTTTTAAATGCCAAGAGTTAACTAACTGCTCCATACCAATGAGATTTCTAGACTTATTGCAATAAACTGAATTTGATCAAGTTTGGTTTTGATCATTTTGAAATTCAAATACAAAACAGCAATTTATATTTTTCTTGCACATAAAACATTGAACAGTTAAAATGCTGAAATTTTAAGAGACTCGTTCTGCTAGCACTAAACACAGGGTGACCGGTCTTCTTTTTCTCATGAGTACAAGGCTTGAAGAGGAAAAAATCTTGTTGGAAGTTTGAATCCATGAACTAACATCCAACCAATTAAAATGAGTAAATAAGTTTTAAATTATTATGAAGCAGAATTAAAGTAACAGTGTCCATTGTTTGATTAATTTGGCCAACCTATGGTACAAATGCCATAGCAAACAGTGTAGCTGTTTGAACAGCTCGGTGCATTGACCTAAATGCTAATAAAAGAATCATGCTACCAGCAAGCATAATCCCCACATAATGAAGATTAGTTTTACTTAAATAAAAAGTTTACCAAGTTAAACTAGAGAGTGGATCAAAATCATTAAAAAGCAAGGTAGCCAAGGTTAAGGAACAATGAAGATTTAAAAGTAAATACAAAAGTTAAGAGACTACCTCAGTTTCAAATCACATTTAGCACCACAGTACCATTTATCCTTCAGAGCAACCTACTGCATTGTTCAAACAGCTTTTTCATGAATGGCTATTTAAAGACAATGCCTGTGGCTTACTTATGATCAGGCCTAAATATGTGCAACAACTCCAGCTCTGTTTACTGATCCTTAGCACTCCTCTTAACTGGATGAGTGTAAGAAGATAAAGTAACAACATGTGAATGAGAGCTACCTCTAGCATCCCGGCTCAGCTACAAGGACCATCTAAATGACCGAAGTAATCAAACTTCAAAGAAAGCAGTTACTTTTGTTGTCAGTGATTAAAATCTTTTTCAGGCCCTTCAGGGTAAATCCTTGAAAAAGATTACTAACAACTGTATTAGTCAGAGTTTAATTTCAGCTTCCTGTCATCTAAATATAAAATGATGAGGGCCACAAAACGGTATCATTCACCCCAACACTGTCCTGTAAAACATCTGCAACTTCAAGTCCATCAGAAGTTTTAGAAATATAGACTTCAGGTGAAAAAAATCCATCATGAAACACAGAAAGCCCCTTGCAACAGAACTAAAGCCGCTAATGACAGGAACAGCTCCATCTACAGGGTCCAGAGGCATAGGGTTACTGCATATAATCTCCTCCTATGATGTACAGGATGATCAGTCCTTTGCCATCTAAAGAATTCAGTGTATGTTCTTTTTTAAATCATTCTTTACTTTTTTGTAAGTGTTCTAAAATTGACCAACCAATAATTAATTTCTATCATTAGCTGAGAATTTTTCAAAAACTAAAAATAAAATTATTTATTCCACAGCTGTCAGACCCTCTTGGGACTGTAAGATTTTTGGAAACAAGGATTCCTGTAATAGAATAGTGAGAGGGACAAAGAAAACTGTCCTGAGTTTACAAGTCTCAGGAGTTTTAAGAGCTATATATAAAAGTAGACCCTTGACACACACACTTGTAATTCAGACTCTGAATATGCATGCTCTCCCTGAGGCCAAAATTCCCACATCTGGGTGCCTAAAGTTAGGATCATAAACCCAACCATCTAAATACAAGTTGCCAGATTTTCATAAGTGATGAGCACCCACATATCCCACTGGAATCAATGGGAGCTGCCGGCTCTCAGCATCTCTGAAGTCAGGCCACATACATATGCAGGTGCCGAAATATGGACTTAGACCAGTATGAAAGTTTTACTCCTGAGTCCCTCCTCCCAGGGCTACCATACACATTTTCAAGTTTGCTATCTAAAACCACTGTAACTAAAAACAGTGCTGCGTTCAGGAAACAGCCCAAGACATCCTGCTCTATTCAATCTTAGCAACAAGCTTTAAAAGATGAGCCAGCAGGATAAATATATAATTGAAAAAGTAGCTATTGACAAACTGCCAGTCAAGTTTAAATGATATGCTGTTCCCGCAATAATCACAAGTTGGTGGCCTTAATGCTCAAAACCAACATTGACAGGTTTTGAAATATAGCAATGTTTTTTTGTTCATTGTAGAGTAAGAAGCAATGGAAACTGAACAGAAGCAACCCAACCTCCCCTAGGCCTAAGAAGGATTTATGAAAGTTGCTGCCCAGAGGACCTCAAAGACTAAAGTCCTCTCCTTCACAACGCAGATAGAAACATAGGATTCTCCAGAGAACTGATAATGGGATACAAAGCCTTTCAAACTCTGGTTTACCTACTGGTCAGTAGTGATTTAAAGTAGTTACCCATTTGCCAACTGTTTGGTGGCCAATGTGAAAATGAATTTTTGGTGGGCAGGTATACACATCAGAAACACTACCACAGATGAAATCCTTCTTGGCAGTCTCAGCAGAGACCACAGACCAAAAGGCCATGGAAACTGAGTTACCTCCTCAATCCTAGATGCATGCAGATTACATGCCTTGGACATTCATTTCTACGAGGTAAAGATCACAACAAAAGCACAACTGTGGTTGGTACAGGCAGCTTGTTAGAGACTTACAAATATTAACCGTTCGGATTTGAATTCTGCAATGCAGTTTGCTTACGTAAACAGAAACCAAGCTACTACTCAGCGTCTAGAATCAAGACTTCCTGATCAGTAAGTGCAAAATGAATTTTTATTCCCCAGAGCAGCTACTATATAACATTATTACTTAGAAGGTTATAATAGGTGCATGACAATCTTCAATCATCCTAAAATCACTCAGTTGATACTAATGCAAATATATATGGGTTGCTTCTGTTCAGTTTTCATTGCTTCTTACTCTACCTAGCTCACAGAGCTGGAAGGGACCCTGAAAGGTCATTAAATCCAGCCCCCTGCCTTCACTAGCAGGACCAAGTACTGATTTTTGCCCCAGATCCCTAAGTGGCCCCTGCAAGGACTCAACTCACAACCCGGGGTTTAGCAAGCCAATGCTCAAACCACTGAGCTATTTCTCCCCCAATCTCCAATGAGGACTGGGAGAATTATCTTGTAGAAAGAAAACTGACTTTGAGCCAGTTTATTCAGGCAGGAAATTGAACATGTTTTCAAAATGAAGTTTTTTAAAAACTCGTCACTGGCCCAAATGTGATTGTAAGCTCTTTGGGACAAGCTGTTTATCGGTCTTCTATACTGTTATAGCTAAACCATCCAACACACACTGAAATAAGTGAGACTTTGATCTTGGTCATGTCTCACAGAAACTCATGGGGAGGGGGGTAGAGCAGGAGGAGTGGGAGGGAACAGACCAGTATTCACTCGAGTAACAGGTCATACAAAACATCTCTGCCTCATGCAATGTGTCCTAAGGCTATGTAACTAAACAGACTGCTCAAAGCTGCCATTATTATCCATACAACTGGAATAAAGGTAAGAAGCTTGGCTAACAAGACGACTTCTTCCCTCCCACATACTCAAGCTCTTATTTCAGTGCTAGTTGCCTCACCTTTAGGACATACAAAAACGTACATAGAGTTAAAAGAAAGCTTGGCAACACACTTTAACCAATTTTGTCCATTACTAAGGTTGTGACCCAATGCAATAATTTGATTAATTTTTTTGATGAATAGGCTGAGCACGTCTTTTCTATTTATGGCTCAGGTACAACACATTCAGGATGATTCTTCACATGTAAGCTTCCTCCTCACGCTGCAAGAAAGTTAGAAGAAAAGAAACTAAAGTACAGTAAAATTTGTTTAATTTTTTAAAACAACAACATTCCGATATAACCCACCTAGAAAAAAGAAAATGCCTATACTGGGAAAGAATATCAAAGTTAAAAATCAACTAAGGACAGATTTCCAAAAAAGTTGAGCAACCAGCATTTCCCATTGTTCTCACCAGGGCCAAGTGTTCTCAGCACGTCTGAAAATCTGGCCAAGTTGTTTGTGTTCCCAATGGGAGAAGAAAAAAAAAATCTACCCCTAATTTTGGAAGCTGAGCTCTTGAAAACCTGCTCAATAAAATTAATGTAAAAAAAAATAAGTTTTTCTAAAACATCTAGCACAAGCTTATTATACAGTAAAAAACATTTCTAGGCAACAGTAGTCTTCAGTCATCCATCAACTTGCTCAAAAAAACAGATATCTGCTTGTTTACTTATGTAAGGGTTTCAATGGCTCACAAAGCAAAAAGTCCTTTACTTACATCTTCAGTGTCCTTAACCCGTAAAATCTGTTCCCTCAGGTCCTGTAAGTCATTAAATGTGGACTGTGCTGTAATAGAATATACTAGTGCAAACCCTTGACCGTTCTTCATATAGAGATCCCTCATTGCTGTAAATTGCTCCTGTAATCAAATATTTTAAAAGGTAATTAATTAGCTGTTTAATACATATATCAAACAGTTCAAAAGGAATCCTTTTATTCTAACAGAGAGAAGAATGTAGTAGCTAACATTACATTTATATTTTTACCCCTTACAGAAATCCAATGAAGCATATGAATTTAATAAAAGCATGAACTCAATTCCTTCCCTTCTTCCTCGCCCCACGCTCAGGAGGAAGAAAAAACCTGTTAGAAGAACAGACAAAAATAGCAAGAAAAAAAGGCAGAGGATGCTATAGAATTAAATCTGATAAATATCTTGCAGTGATAAATATGGCACTAATGTACATCTAAAGCATACGGTTAATATTTCGTTAACACACTTGCAGTGGTATTTCAAATATTTCACTGCCAGAGAAGTGACAATCTGCAAATATGCCCCTGCTCTAGTACTGCGCAGAGACTGTCTAGGTGCCACACACTTGTAGGTTTTTTGTGAACATCAAAGCGTAGAAGAAAGAGTGAGCTGACATCTAAGCACATGTAATTGTTCAGCAGTCATTTGCTGCATGCAAATGGCTTGAAGGCTCAATGTGATGAAACATAAGGCTGTACAAGAATGGGCTGGGAAAGTCAGGGTCAGACCCAAAGCTATCTTTTGTACACGTCAGTGAAAGAACCTTCACTAGAAATTTTAACCATACTTTGATTTCTATCTGCCTGGGCTACTTTCAACATCATGGTCCAAGTGCTTCCCAAAACAAACAGCAATTGTGTTTTCAAACTCTTAAAAAGCAGATCCTCCTCCCATAGTGTTCTCAACCATTAAAGTCTGTTTGTTTAGTGACACCCTCCCACAGGATGATAAAGAGGCTTGGTGAGCTTTCAGGAAGCTCGCCTCTCAGTAGATGCTAGGAGGAGGGAGATGACAGGGGCTTCCCCCAACATGGAACAGCTGGACAGCACAGAGAATTAGCATGAGGGGCAGTTGACCTGAGCAGGAAGGGATTCCCAAAGGAGGAGAAGAATGTCCCTTCCAGCACTATCTGAGGAAGAGCCATGGCGTGTAAGGTCTTATTTGTTGGAGGAGGGTTCTTTAAGAAAGGAGGAAGCAGGCCCAAGTGCAGTGGCTTGACAGGGAACTTTGTTTTTTTGGGGGGGAGGGGGGGAATTAAAAG